GGAGCAGGCCTAAGCCAGCAGGTCGTTATCTCCTGAGGGGTCCCAGACTGCAAGAGGGCACAGGCCGGGCTGAGGGACCCCCCCCTCTCCCCCGAGTGCACAAATTTTTGTGCACCGGGCCCCTAGTATATAATAAAAAGGTAATATGCAAATCAAGAGGACGGCAGAATAACTGGTCGCTATGACATGCACTGACCACCAGGGGGCAGATGCTCAATGCAGGAGATACCCCCTGGTGGTCAGTGCACTCCCACAAGCCTGCTGATGGCTGGCGAGTGCTTTGGTGTTAAGCCAGTTGGACATCTCCTGAGGCCTTCCCCAACTGCTAAAGGGTGCAGGCCAGGCTGAGGGGACCCCTTCCCCTCCCCCTTTCTCTCCCCCCTGAGTGTACGAATGTCGTGCACTGGGCCTCTAGTTTATAAATAAACTTTATTATAGATATGTCTAGAAAAATACAAAGTATACCTTTTCATGATTTTGGGCATTCACTGCGGGGGGGGGGGGGGTCTTAGAACCCCCATGGATAAGGAGGAACTACCTTCACCACTTAGTAAATATCGCAGTCAGTATTCAAATCCAACTTATCAATTAGTGCTATTTCTGTACCTGTCTTATCTTCCCTATGGAAATGAACATTTTTTCAAGACAGTATAAGTCTTGATTTTTTAAAATTCTCTATTGAAGCTATCTCAATACCTTAAACATTCTAATCACTCAATTCATATTTTTTTAAAAATACATTTTTATTTATTTCAGAGAGGAAAGGAGAGGAAGAAAGAAAGAAACACCAACGATGAGAGAGAACCATTGATTGGCTGCCTCCGGCATGCCCCACATGGGGGATCGAACCCGCAATCTGGTCATGTGCCCTGACCAGGAATCAAACTGTGACCTCCTGATTCATAGATCAATGCTCAACCACTGAGCCATATTTCATATTTATTTGAATAAATGATTAAGTGAAATTATCTAGCTGGAGTTTCTCATCTTTCTCTTTCCTGACTGGAAATATCTCTGGATCCTCATCTTTTGTGGCTTTTAATTTTAAGTTTAATTCTATTTTGAATTACAATGAGGAGCCATGGGATTGGATTAGGATATGCCTGATTGGATTAAAATGTTATTGCTATCAGCCTATTCCCTTTTAGGATGGCTCCAAGTGAGAAAGCACTTTCAGATTAGTGGAAGGTAGGCTATGTATTATTCCATTCTTTTTTTTTTTTTCTTGTTAAATGTGAAATTGATAGAAAGAGAGAACTTTCTCTGTTAAAAGTTTAAAGCATTTAGTTTTTAATTATGGGAACATTTTTTACTTTTACCTTAGAAGTTGTGATAGATGGAGTTTCCATTTCTCCTAAATTAAAATTGAATATATGTATTTATTTCATTAAAAATAAATATATATACACATATGCATATACATACATATACATATGCACCTATATTTTCAACTAGTTTTGCTATGTTGTCATGTTGAAAGTTTTAAAGAAAATGTTTTTAAATTGTTGTTTGTTGATATTTAGAGAGACAGAGGGAGAGAGAGATTTGTTGTTCCACTTATTGATGCATTCATAGGTTGCCTCTTGTATGTGCCCTGACCAGAGATTGAACCTGAAACCTTGGTCATATCAGGATGATGCTCTAACCATCTAAGCTACTTGGCCAGGCTGTTAAAGGAAGATTTTTATGAAGAAAAAAAATCTTTTTATTTTATGGGAAACTGAAGGAGTAGACCAGAGTTGGACATAAATGGTTTTGGAGGATGTTGACAGATTGGATAGGGATGGTGCTGAGAGAATTCAATTTCTGATGAAACACATAGAGCCAGACCTTCTATCCATGCTGCTTCATTTTTTTGAGGTTTTCAAAGGGAAAGCATATTTTTGGATCTTGGAAAACGTTCATGTAAAATTAAGATTTCATATTATTGGACAATTGCCTTTTTTTTCCTCCATCCTTTTTTTAAAAATTTTTATTGATTACATCTGTGTCCTGATCTCCACATTACCCCCCTTCCCCCCCACTCATGCCCTCACCCCTCTGTTGTCTGTGTCCATTGGTTAGGCATATATCTATATCTATATCTATATCTATATCTATATCTATATCTATATCTATATCTATATA